TACGACTTGGACGACCCAACAATCCGGAGACACCCAAACGGAGAAATCTGCGACCACCACCTGGCGGTCTTGGGTGCCCTGGCTGTGTGGACAACAACTACAAGCAATCACCAAAGCACAGTAGGGATCCGAAGATGTGTCGGTGGTATGATGTTGAACCGTATTACTGGGACTGTCCAAGCTGTAAGAAGGAATATCAGAAGAGCAATCCTCACCACACCAAGATATCTGGCCAATGCAGATTCGCCGAAAAATGGAAGCTGCCAGATAACTTTGGCCAGCCGCGCCCGGCGGGGCAAGCCGCTCCTGCGGCGCCAGCCGCGGAAGCGGCTCCAGCCGCAGAAGCGGCGCCAGCCGCAAAAGCGGCGCCGGCCGCGAGAGCGCGCATACGCGCGCCTAGGCCGCCACGGCCTGGTGAGGGCGACCCAACCGCAGGCGCCAGCAGCCATGACATCACCAGAGCTGACGGGGCTACTGGTGGCAACAGTGGTGCTGGCAGCTCTGACGATCACCGTAGACTGCCACAAGTTGCAGCAAGGCGCGGACGCATGGAGGGAGGAGATCCTCCACCACCGCCGCAGCCTCAAGCAGAGCCGAGGCCAAGGCCAAGGCTCCCTGATTGGACTCGCTTCGACGTTCAGCTCAGCCTCCAAAACCTGCGCAGCTTCGACCCAGCTGTAGTGCAGCGAGAACTCCGCAAACTCCACCTGAGATGGTTTCATGCCAAGGAGCCAAAAATGCGGATGATTCTAACCAAGGTTGGTCTGGGTGAAACCCGTTTGAGTCTGATCAAAGGCATTTGTGACTCGTGTAGAGAATGTCGAGCCTGGGACAAACCAGGCAACACGGTGATGCCTTCTGTGTCACTGCCAGGACGTTTCAACGAGGAAGTCGAATGTGATCTTTTCTTTTATAAACAGGAACATATTGTTTTTCACATCATCGACCGTTGTATTCGCTGGGCAGCTGGCACAGAGATTCCTGATAAAGCCATGCATACTGTTCTCGATGCCTATCATACGACTTGGATGCAACATGGCCCTGCTAAAATCTTATACTCCGATGGGGAAGGAGCACTGAATAATGATACAGCAAAGGCCATCCTTAAGGCTAAGGGAACAGAGCTTCGTATTCGAGCGCGTGGCCAACACGCTACAACTATCGAAGCTAGGAACGGCATCCTGCGACACCTCCTACACGTGATGGGAGAAGAATTGAATAGATTAAATATCCCTCTCAATTTCACTCGTCTCTTACATGAAGCCTTGTTTGCCAGCAACGCATTTACCTTCTACAATGAAGTGTCTCCGTACAATGCGCTGTATGGTAGACAGCCAGCTATGCTTCCTGATTTCCCTGTCTTGGATCATGATCAGCCCACTGAATCATCAGATCACTCAAGGGAGGAAACAATCAGGAGGGTTAGTCTGGAGGCAATCACGCAGGCCACTGCGGTTGCCAAGACGAACAGGGCTCTCCGTACAAAGACTACTGCTACGGGTGAATTTCACTATAAAGAGGGAGATCTCGTGGACTATCATCGCCCGACCACCACGAAAGACGACTGGGGTGGATGGAGTGGTCCATACCCGGTCATCCGCAACGAACCTGACCGAGGCCAGGTCATCGTGAAGGTCGGCAATCGCGAAGTACGAGTACAGTATCCTGACACACGACACACACTGTACATCGAAGCACTTATGGTCCGCGAGATAGGATCGGACAATACGGCCCTTCGAACAGTATTGGCCTTTATTGCCGGTCTGCCAGCGGGGAAACCCGCCATGACTTTCGGATATCTACCAACGAAACAGGGTCGGCTGCAGATGACTGCTGCGAGCCGACTTTCACCTAAGGTGCACTTGGCTCTTCAGTACCTCATACGCAACTACTTTCGTATTGAAAACGTTGTTGCTGTACGACTCGCCAAGAGCCTGACGAAGCTGCCTGCCGCACCCTATGCAGACAGCTGTACACTAGTGCACTATGATAACGATGTGACCCCTGGGTTTCATTACTATGAAGCTGATGGCACTGCCTTGAACATCTATGACATCACAGGATCTACACACTCACGCATCATCCAGTGTCTTAAATCCAGGAAGCCGTCTGCTGGGTTTGACCAAGATCTCACTAAGTTTGAGGAACTCGCTGATGGTCCACCACCAAGCGAATCACCTCCAGCAGCTGCTCCTGAGGAGCCTCCTACGGACAACGATGGTCGGCTCCCGACCATCATAGAGGAGACAGAAGAAGATCTGGATGCTTTTGTCTTGAAGTCGTGGTATGCTGAACTGATGGATGACAGAACACTCCTTGAAGCTGACACAGAGGAAGTCATGCATACAGTTCCTACATACATGACAGACACACAGTGTGTATTAGTCTCTACGACCTGTGAAGATGTGCAAGGCCACTTGCCGGAGCGGGGTCACCCGCCAGGATACGACATGGACACTTCTTACTACGTTCCTTTATGCTCCACGGAACCGGATAGCAAATATGATCTGGACTCCGATGAGCACGGGAAGTATATCGAGCTCTGCTTCACAGCAGACATGTCCAAAGTCGTCCTGTCCGAGCAACAACACCGACTGTTGGATGACAGCAGCATCACAACTATGCGAGTATACGTTAGCGCTGCCTCCAAACGTGCCGTGGTCGTCAAGGAAGACGATATACTCACGAAGGCCGACATCCAAGCAAATCCGGTCAAAGTTTCCAAAGCCCTCTACACAGAGCTGAAGACGTGGCTTGACAACAAATGCTTCCAGATGACTGACTTAAGCAAGGCGTCTAACATCATGACGTCACGCTACGTATACAAATGGAAGTTTGTCAAGAACGAAAAGGGCGAAATGGAAAGGACGATCCGGTTACGCTTGGTACTCCGTGGCTTCATGGACCTCGAAGCCTTTGACGTCGAAACCTTCTCTGGCACGGCAAGGAGGTCAAGCCAGAGACTGCTCGCAAGTTCTGCTGCATGCAACAAAGCTTGGATCATCGCTTCCCTGGACATCAACATGGCTTTCTTGAAGGGACTGACCTATGGCGAGCTCGCCGCGGCAACGGGCGAGAAAGAACGTGTGGTGTGTTTCACACTACCACCTGGATCTGCAGCTGTCCTTCGCACACTGCCAGGCTTTGAGTCATATGACGAATCAAAGCATTGTCTCCGGTGTCTGAAACCGGGGACAGGCACGAAGGATGCTCCCAGGGCATTCTCGCTGAAGCTCAGGTCCATCACTAGGAGCTTTGGGCTACAGCCTACTTCATACGACGAAGAATTCGAGATGAGCCCAAACCTCTTGACAGCCAAGCACGTTGATGACATCAATATGACTGGGAAGGAAGAGGCTATCGACAAGTATGTCAAGTGTGTTGAAGATACGTTTGGGAAGTGCAAACTGAACAAGCACACATACACGAACTGTGCTGTCCGGTACAACAAGACCGATGATGGGAGCGTCACTCTCGACCAGGACGAATACATCAAACAGCTTCGTCCTATCACACATCCAGAACTCACAGGAGCTGATCCTGAAAGCAAGGCGACGAAGACAATTTCTGATATGTTCGTCAGTCTTCGTGGCGCTCTAGCCTATGCGTTGATCACGCAGGTATGGCTAATGGTCTATGTTGTCTCACTACAACGTATCCAAGAACCGACAAACATCCAGGTACGACGACTAAACGCGGTTACCAGAAAATTGCAGGCAGGCCCGAAGAAGATCGTGTATCATGCTATGACTCCAACAGGAGAAGTCGACCTGCATAGCGATTCTGGCTATCGTCGTCTCAACGGAGATGAAGACGACGAAGTCAAAGGCTATGGTATCCGCGGGGCTAACCTGCTGAGGCGTGGCCACACGCAAGCGGGGAAACCCGTCGTGCACCTGGTGGACGCATACTGCAAGTCTCATCGACTGCAAGTGCGTTCGAGCTACTCTGCGGAAACACTGGCAGCAGCCCACAACTTGGAAGACTGCTACCCGACCATTGTAACGCTCCACGAGCTACACTCGGGACCATTGACCCCCACACAGTTGAAGAACATATTGGAAATGGGTGGTCTATGTATCAAAGTCACTCTGACTATTGATGCCGAGTCTGTCTTCAAATCTTTGTCTAGCAAGGATCTGAAGAAGCCCACAGAGTGTACTCTGCTTGGGCACATCAGCTGGATTCGCCAGATGATGGAACGTGGAATCGTGGAAAGCGTCCAATGGTGTGACACGCGGGATATGACTGCCGATGGTCATACCAAAGGTAGCATTGACCGCGCGTTGCTCCTACAAGTAATGGCCGGCCAGCAATCCTTCAAGCACGAGCTGAAGAAACATACGCCGTATAGGGCGGGCAGGTCGTCTCAGGACGGCCCTGCCTCCCGAGCCAGCGGGGAAACCCGCGGGCAGGTGCGCTTTAGCAGCGAGGAAACTCGCCGGTAGCGAGGCTACTCGCGCGCCCTTTCCTTGTAGGCAGCCGCTGCTGCTTAGCACTGTTTTTTCCGCATAATAGAAGTGCGGTACCTGCTCGTCTCCTCCCCCTCCGACTTTAAACGGAGAAGGTTAAAGGCGAGGTATAAATCGAGCATGTACCGCTGCCGTGCCTGGCTCAAGCCGGGCCCGGCCTGATATGTGACTGTGCCTCACCGAGGCGCACTACTTGCATCTGAGATCGGAAAACATCCTTTCCATTGACGATGCCCATCCTACTCTATACTCCAGATCCCATGCTTCGTCTCGCTCTCTTGCTCATGCGATATGAGCCAAAGCCTGGGATATGGCAACGCCTAAGGCGTAACACATACCTAAGCTTACCAGCCTGTTTTCGACTCAGACTAGGGTGCCGTCGGGCAGTTGTCCTTCCCTACCTCAGGGCCATACGTGCCATGACACGTGGCCTCTCGCTTGACCCAGTCCGAAGACCTCCCAGGAGTTGTGTCCATCAAACATGTGGGCCGTCGATCCTGGACAGCCACTGACGCATGTCCAAGACAG